TTGAAAAAACTGCTTTTGGAACTTCATATCCTCAGGAAAAAAAGAGGTATCTGAAACATTTTATAGTTTCTTTCTTTTGGGGTTAACTATTTAAAATCTTAGCAAAGTAACTTAATAGTTTCTTTCATACTACAGAACTTCATCAAGAATCATAGAGTATTCATTCACCAAAAGATTAAGAGATATCATCTCACTCCAGTAAGAATAGCAAAATTTAACAGAGCAGCAAACATCAAATGCTGGCAAGGTTGTGGAGAAACTGGAACCCTTATTCACTGTTGGTGGAAGTGTAAAATGGTGCAACTACTATGGAAGGCTGTATGGCGCTTTCTCAAAAACTTGCAGATAGAAAAACCATTTGACCCAGAAATTCTACTACTGGGAATTTCATACTAAAGAAATTATGACCACCACCCAAGCAGATATATACACACCCACGTTTATTGAGACTTTGTTCACAATAGCAAAGAGCTGAAAGAACCCAAGTGCCCATCAACAAACAAATGGATAGAGAAGTTCTGGTATATTCACACACTGGAATATTATACAAAATGGGTGACCCTGGAGGACATTATGCTAAGTGAAATATCTCAGTCACAAAAGGACAAATATTGATAGGGCTACTGACATCAGGGTTGAAGGAAGACAAAGAACGAGGGAATGAATGACATATACGCATTGAAACAGATGAGGGAGAGAACTGTTTAAAAGGGACATAAGATTAGATATTATTGTGATGACAGGCGTCCAGAATAAAGGCTACACAGTGGAGTGGATGTGGGGGAGGGAAGGGATTGCATAACAATGAAAGAGTTTTTCTTTTACTTTTCAAGAAGAGTGAACTGGGGGGGGGCAGGGAGAAAAGTTTCTAAACTTTCATTAAAATTAATAAAATTAAAAAAGAATCATACAGTATTAAGGAGATGATAAAAAATACAAGTAGTGAAATGCTACTGTTCTTCTCTAATTTTTCTTATAAACAAGTCTTGAGGATTGGTGGTTGTTAGAACCATCTATTTACAGCCATATTGTACATAATGGAGTTGTTACTGATGTCATCTTATCAGCATAAAAGACAGGCAGAAAACTGGCATTGGTACAAACAACATGAAGCTAGAAGAGTGTGACCTTCCAGAACTTATGAGCAGGGACAAACACCATCAGCTCAGCCTAAAGCTGAAACCTGTAAATCAAGAAGTCAAACATACAATTTTGTATCCAATTTTTTACCAATTCTGACATAAGCTATTCCTCCCACAACATTCTCTGCTTCTCTGGTTCAATAAGTCACCACAATATCCACACAGAATTCATACACTGTACTTACAGTTATGGGAAGTATATTTTGTCATCTCTTTAATACTAGATTCTTGATGAAGAGTCTTAGAGCATGAAAGAAACAATTACATTACTTTGCAAATAATTATGTTAGGGGTAAAAATAACATACTGCTTTTACTTATGAATAGTATATAGGTAAGTTTCCAACTACTTTAAGAAATAAAATCAGACAGTCTAAGTGCAACTTTCTTCCCACTGTTTCTGATGTAAAACACTGATCACTCCTCTTAATGAGGCTAGTCATAAAAACAAAATAAACAGAACTGAAATAATCTTCATGTCTTCAAAAATAATGTTTTTAAAGGAGTGTTGTTGTTATGTGCCATCAAGCCACTGCGACTCATAGCAACCCTATATTCAACAGCCTTAAACCCTGCTCTATCTTGTGGCAACCATATTGTCTCTGACACACCTACCCTCATTATCTAAGTCACTGAATTAATCCATCTCATCTAAGGTCTTCTTCTCTTGCACTGTCCCTTCACCCTCTCAAGCGTGATGTCCTTTACAAGGACTAATCCCTCCTTGTGACATGTCCAAAGTATGTCAGAGGAAGCTTCAGAATCCTTGCCACCAAGAAGCAGCCTGGTCTCACCTTCTCTAGGGCAAACTATTTATTCTCCTATCAATCCACAGTATATTCAATACTCTTCTCCAGCACAACAGCTCAAAGGCATCAATTCTTCTATCATCCTAGTCATTGTCCAGCTTTCAGATGCACAGCAAGTAACTGCATGGTATGGATCAGGCACACCTTAGTCTCTAGACTGACATCTCTGCTCTTCAGTATTTTGGAGAGATCTCTGACAGCAGACTTTCCAAATGTAATTGTCTATTTCCTGGCTGCTGGTACCAAGAGTGTTGATTGTAGAGCCAAGCAAACTAAAGCTATTAACAATCTCAATCTCTTCACCATCCATTATGATGCTGCCAATTGGCCCAGTGGTGAGAATCTTTGTTTTCTTGATGTTGAGCTTCAATCCATATTGAAGGCTGCAGTCCTTGACCTTATGCAGCAAGAGATGCAGGTATTCTTGAGTTTCAGCAAGCAGGATTCTGTCATCTGCATAATGCAGACTGTTGAGAAGTCTACCTTCGATCCTGATGCCACATTTTTCCTCATAGAGCCCAGCCTCCCAGTTAATCTGTTACACATATAGATTAAAAAGGTATGGAGATAGGACACATCCCTGGCGTATATCTCTCCCAATTTTGAACCACAAAGTGCTTCCTTAATTTGTTCTGACAAATGCCTCCTGGTCCAAGTACAGGCTTTGCATAAGCAAAGCATAAGAGATTACCTGATATTAATTCACATCTCTTCTTCAGTATTTCTCTTCTTAGTTAACTGTTGTTGTTGTTGTTATGTGCCATCAAGTCGTCTGCAACTCATAGTGAACCTATGTACAAAAGCTCTGAACCCTGCTCTATCCTGAGCCAACCTTACTGTCTCTGGCAATCCTCAGTCACTAAGTCAATTCATCTCATCGTGGGTTTTCTTCTCTTGCACTGTCCCTACACCATCCCAAGTATGATGTTGCTCTCTAAGGACTGGTCCCTTCTTACAACACGCCTTAAGTATGTCAGACTAAGCTTCAGAATCCTCACCTCCAAGAAGCAGCCTAGTTTCACCCTCTCTAGGATGAAACTATTCTCCTAGCCATCCACGGTAAGTATATTCAATACTCTTCTCCAGCACCACAACTCAAAGGCATCAATTCACCTTCTATCATCCCTAGTCCAGCTTTCTGATGCATAGCATATAACTGTGAAGCCCATGGCCTGGATCAGGCACACCTTAGTCTCCATACTCACATCGCTGCTCTTCAGTACTTTGAAAATGTCCCTGACAGCAGACTTTCCTAATGCAATTCCTGGCTGCTGGTACTAGGAGTGTTGACTGTGGAACCAAGCAAACTAAAGCTGCTAACAATCTCAGTCTCTTCACTGCCTAGCATAATGATGCCCAGTGGTTACCTAAACATCTCAAAAACTATCACTACGCAGTGACTAAGCTATGTCCAAGGATGATCCAGATTTATTTATAGCTGTCACTATTGTACAAGCAAAAATTCCTTACAAAACTAAAACTCAGGTTCTGAGTACTTATAAATAACTGTAACTAAAATGCTCCCGTACACAATCTGCAAAATCAGCCATCCAAACAAATAACAGATTGTATGTTACAGGAAATAAAACTGCTTCTCTTACTCAGCAAGACCCAACTTACATTCCACTGTTAAAAACAAAACCTTAACTAGCCCTTTTTTAAACTAATACACACACCCATGTTCACTGCTATTATTCACAATACGAAGCAACCCAAGTGCCCTTCAAAAACCCAATGGAAAGAAAAACGATGGTTCGTTGATGCAGTGGAATACTATGCAGCACTGAAAAACAATGAACGTGTAAAATATTTTACAGCATGGGGGAACCCAGAGGATGCTGTTGTTGTTATGTGCCGTCAAGTAGCTTGCGACTCATAGTGACACTATGTACAACAGACCTAAACCCTGATCTATCCTATGCCAATCGCACTGCCTCTGACACACCCATCCCGATTACCCCAGTCACTGAATCAATCCACCCTTCCAAGCATGATGTCCCTCTCCAAGGACCGGTCCCTCCTTACAACATGTCCAAAGTATGTCAGACGAAGCCCCAGAATCCTTGCCTCCAAGGAGCAGCCAGGTTTAACCCTCTCAAGGATGAATCTGTTTGTTTTCTTAGATGTTAACTAAATGAACTATCTCAGTCACAAAAGGACAAATACTGCACAGTGCCAGTCTTGGAAACTAGGACAGGGAGGGTTGGAGAGGGACTAGGGCAGGAATGAATAAATCATTGCATTAGAATGTTGTTGTTGTTATGTGCCATCGAGTCATTTGCAACTCATAGCATCCCTATGTACAACAGCCCTAAACGCCATTCTATCCTTTGCCAACCTCACTGTCTCAAACACATTCATTCCCACCACTCCACTCACAGAATCGATCCATCTCATCATCCCTCTCCAAGAACTGGTCGCTCCTTGCAAAATGCCCAATGTATGTCAGACGAAGCTTCATTAGAATAGAAGAAGGAAACAATCGTTTCAAAGAAATATATGATTATGCATTATATATACTAGAATAATCGGAGTGCACTGCAAAGTGGGCTGGGGAGGAAGGAAAGAAAATGTGCAACAAATGAATGGAAAAAAATTTTTTAAACAGAAATTTATTTCACAAGGATTATCCTGCCTATGAAGAAATCTCCAAGCCTGAACAACTTGATCCACTTCTACTAAACACTTAATGATAGTATAATGCCAATATATTAAAATCTTCCAAAATAAAAGAGGAAAAGGAATATTCTAATTTATGAGATATGCTAAATATCTCATAACCTGATAACCTGATGCTAAAACCTAGGAAAAACAATACAAGAAGGAAAACAAAAAGCTTATAGGGAAGGAGCTGTGCTGCCAAAACAAAGACAAGCGGTTCAAATCCACCAGCTGCTTCGCTGGGGAAAGACGGCAATCTCGTCATGATTTACATCTTCTGAAAGTCTACTAGAAAGTCAGCGGAGTCAACAACTAGTTGGTAATCAGATCTTTAAAGAGTAATGGACTCAAAAGAAACATACCAATAAAAAAGCATAGGAAAATCCCACCTGTATATCTGTTTTCAACCATTTGGAATCCAGTCGAGTCTGGGCAATCAAACAGAATGAATCAGTGGGCATTTTTCGTCCGCTGACTTCCCAGCTGTCAGACCTGCAAGTAAAAGAGACATGCTGAAAACATAAATTTTTTCCTAATTTTAAAGAATCTCCCTAGAGGTTCCCTGCAGGAAAAGGGAAGGATATGGAGCTGCCGAAGAATGGAGGACAAGGGAGTGAGGAGAAAGATGGAACGGGGACACTGTACAAGGAAGAGTTAACGCAGGATTTCCTTGATCGGCAAAACCTAGAATCACATAGCAAGTGACAATATCATTCCTTGCCCCTTAAATCAGAAAGCTGCATACACAGACAGGAAACACTCCGTCAGAAGGCAAATGGCATCACCATATGCCCTTTAACCCAAGACAGTCAAGAGTACGATAAAAATATTAAATCAAATTCACTTCAGGAAAACACTCAAGACGATCCGGAAAGGAGCGGACGCACGCCACAAGCAACCCTAGAAGGCCAAGCAAGACAAGCCGCTGCTCAAAAGCCGGCCGCCCCGCCGCCCCGCCATTACCAACCTAACGTACCGGGGCCCTCAGCCTCGCTCTGCTACAGCGGCGGAAGGTTACGAAAAGCCAGACCGGCGTCGGCAATCCCGACGATGCTCGCGACACAGGGGTTAGCTCCAACACAGCCCGTATAGCCAATCAGAATGAGGAGGTTGTGCAAGTACAGCCAATGGTAAAGAGGATTCCACTGATTCCGCCTTCTCGCCTGTCTTGTACCTTCAAATCCGCTTTTGTTCCTTCTTGGAGACCAATCTTTAGGCCGGTCCACCGAAAAAGGCGGGACTTCCGCTTTCGCACTCACACAGGTACGAAAGACGTACGTCCGGAATTCCGGGCTGCGAGTGTTCATCTAGGGGGTAAAGTCTAGCAAGGTGGATAAGATGAGTTGTTGGAGGCGAAGACGCAACGTGAGAGGCCAGAAGAATCCTTTATAGCTCTGGCCCTCCTTTGGAAAAGGACGACCGAAATATCAGCAGAGTGCTCGTTCGTTCCAGTAAAATGAAAGGCCTCCCAGATACTCCTTTTTTTTTTATTAAATTTTGTTAGTTTTAATGAACATTTACAGAGATTTTGGGTTTTCATTCATTCATTGTTGCACTTCAGATATTCTTCCTAATGCTCCCAAA